TCTCTCTCTCTCTCTCTCTCTCTCTCTCTCACACACACACACACACACACACACACAAATACTCTGAGCCTCAGCTGTTTTCTGCAGAGTGAACATAGTAGTTATAACTTTCTACACAAGATAAAAATGATTGAGATTTTTAAAAATGTGAAAATGCATTGTAAATAGGAAAATGAAATTAAAATGTAAGGCCTTGTTATTTTATAAGTTCTCACCTTCCAAACTACTGGAGATTCCAGGATACACCATAATCTGGAAGGTAAATTGCATGGTCTTACCTTTCATTGAGTTCTAGCATTATTCAGTTGCTCTCCTCCAGCAATTCTAAGTCTGAATGAGTAGAGAATCCCTCAATTCATTAAAGCTTAAATGCATGTAGGCACAGAGTTCTGTTTTCAGAAAATAAGTGGTTTTTTTTTCTTGTAAGGATCATCTTTGAGTTTTATCCTAGATATAAATACATTTATTTCAAAAAATTATCAATTTTACATAGTGGTAACCCACACCTGCATAACTGATCTTAACCAAACTAGTGTAAGGATCTTTTTGTTTTCGTTTGGCAAGTGAAATAAGAGAATTGAGTGAGTGGTCTAATGTCACATTCCCATAAAATAGTTAAGAATTACAAATTCTTACAATAGTAAAGAATTACAAATTCTAGGGCAGTGTTTTAAACAATAGAACTTAAAATTATGAATATTGAAGCAACTCTGCATTCAAAAACAGGGGGTTGGGAAATTGTGGCATATCAGTAAAGGAGAATATTGCATATCATCCAAGATGATAATAAAGAATGACACAGGGAATTGCAGGATAAGTACATTCATATGTATTTTATGATAATTGTGATTATTCCTTTAGGAAACTAGCTGCAGGTCAAAAGAATATGAGAGTTTTGAAAGGCTATTATAACAGTTCCAATTTCTTTTCTTTCTTATTTCTACCATTTGTCAGTATTATTGAAATAGCTTTGATGTTTATACCAACGTTCCATATTAGATGTTTTTCAAAAAATGTCTATTCTTGGCTTCCTTTAAATTTTAGTAAAGCATCTACCTATTCCACCTGTGCTTTGGCATTTAGAGAGAAAATACTTTGCACAAGAATTCTTACAGGAAATACTTCTTCAAGACAGCACAGTTCCCAGCAAAATGGTCTGAAATTAGTCTTCTGAGGAAATGTATATGAAAGGATAATATTAGAGGGGAAATGTTCTTTTTATGGTTAATCAAGTTGTTTCAATAGTTGAATTCAATGCATATTTCACCGAAGAAATTTAAAATCTTGTTCTTAAACATCTATTATTTGATTTCCCCACAGATTGTTCTTAAAAGGGTCTATATTTTCCTTAGAAAGGTTACTATATTCACAACTTAATATTTTTCTGAATGTGTCTAATTAAGAGATACCTCTTCTCTGAACATTTGTCATTCTTCTCACTAAGAATGGGCATTTCCCCACCTAAAAATTTACAGCTGACAGTATAAATAGTTGTCAACTTTATAATGGTTGACTGGTGCAATGCATTTCTAGATTATAAAAAGGAAAAAAAAGGCTTTTTGAGTGTGTGGGGAGGGGGTTTTACGTGTATTTCTTATTTGAGATGTTCATTTCATTGTATTTCTTTCATTTTTAAAACAACCACTCTGGAGAGTGGTGAGCAAATTTAGGAGGAAGGAAGCTTAGTTCTGTGCGTCCTTGAAATAGATATTACTTGATTTTGCAGCTCACATAATAATGGATAGCAGAGAACACTCTGGGTTTTGAATTGAAAAAAGAATAATGAAACAAGTCCTTTTAAAAACTCTGAATATAAACTGTTCACCCAATTAAGAAAATGCATTCACTTTCAGTCAATGATGTAGTAAGGGACAGATAATTGCAGCTGTCTATGTCAACCTTGTAAAGAGCTTTCGAAAATCATTAAGCATTCAGAAATTTTATTCGGCCTGCAACATTTTCCTGAACTGCACTCACACTTATTAAAACCACTCCCTGACCATTTTCACCCTCTCTTAGAGCCCTCCATATCATTAAGGTAAAGCCTGGCAACCATTTTCCTGCAACAGATAATGATTTTTTTTCTCACCAACATAAATTTTCATCAAAATCAAAATGAAGGACACTAGAAAGCTGTCCGACAGAAAGCTAAATTTCCCTCAGGACTGTGTCAAGATGATATTAAAATAACCATCCTTTTAATATATTTTCATTTTGTACCACATATGCCATCTAACTCATTTTGTACATATTTTTGCCAAAATGATAATTTGCTTTGGTGACATATACAGTGTACTTTTAATATCAGAATTTTTGAAAAATTCTGTTTACTAGGGCTATGCCTTGTCCATATGGCCTAGAGTTTACTTTTCATGGTTAAGCCATACAGAGGATGCACTAAGAAGAAGTCATAAATATATAACTAATGAAAAAAAATATGTTCCCATATTGCCCGATGTACTCTTTCCTCTCTACCCTGACATCCCATGCTGACTGGAGAATCTCACACTTTGCCAATAGGTTCACATGCTCTTTATTTTGTATTTGTTATGCTGGGGGGTTTTCTAGTCATGGGAGTTACATGGATTTTCTCCTTCTGGCTATTCTACTATGCTGAAGCTTATAAACATCCATTGTTAAAATCAGAACTTGCAGACTTCAATTCAGTGCCAGTTGTTATTATGAAAGATATTTTCCTCCTAATACTATTATCCTCATTTGTCTTTCCCACATCAATTTGGTAATTAAACTCATCCAGAAAACACTACACTTCCTCTTGCTGCAAATTATAAACTTTAAAAACAACCAAGACACATCCCAGTGGCCTCCAAACTGCCCTGGGTTCAGTTGTCACTGTGCACAGTTTTATTCTAATACTCAGTGCCAAGCTGGCTCCTGCTGGGGCCTGGCTGAGTCCTCTGGGTAATCCTGTGAGTGGCAATATTTAAAATTCACACTCTGTACTACCCAGCATTGGCCATTGCTAGATACTCTGCCTTCAGAACAGAGAATGGAGCACGCTGGAAAAACAAAATATTTTCTTCTTCTGAACTAGAAATAAAATCTGAAATGAGAGGCATTTCTAGAATGTCTTACTAATTCATTGAATCATAGGCAAAGTCCTGACAACAAAGTCAAACATCTGGCAGGTGCTACTCAGAGATGGCATCAAGAGCATTTCAATGCAGAATCCTGGATAATCACTGCTATGATGGTGGTGATAATAGGACTCACAATGATGAAGGTGACTGAAGGGGCTTATGGATATTCTTATGGAGATAACATTTAAGCAAAGAGAGCAGTTCAATTTAACATATGGTCAGATTTCCCTCTATATGTGATTTCTAAAGGGAGCAAACACATCCTACTGTTTTCTCTTTGCAAGACAGTCTGTTCTAAAGTAGAAAGTTTTCATTGGTCACTTTCCATGAGAGCTGTGAGGCATCTTGCTAAATAACTTATAGACCTTGTACTATACAGAAAGCAAGTCTAAAGCATTTGACAGTGTGTTACCCATTGACTTATTCCCATTTGAAATACGGTTCAGTATGGTAGATCTATATAGTTACATTAGAGAGTAATGGAGAATCAAAAGATTTGAGCCAACAAATGTCACCTCCAGTCCACAAATTGACACATTTGCTTTGAAGAGTCTCTATTACTTACAAGATCAGCAAAAATTATAATTCTTCAGTTTCTTTTTTATCTTCAATTGACCTCTTAGCAATTTTTATAGGTGAGTTATGGCTGATGTTCATCAATACTTCAATACAAGGAGTTCAGAAACTAAAGAGCTCTGTGGGCCAGTCTTTGTTTTTTGGGTTTGGACCAAGTACGGTTTTGCAATATAACCTAACTTACTCCTACATGACCAGAAGCTGACAAAAAAAAATGTCTCCTACCTGCAGGATAGATGTCACATTGCAAGATCATCAGCAGCCTTCTTCCTTAGAGACCAGCTGTTGAGTGGGCTATTTCTGGTAGCAGCATGGAACAGGAGGCAGGCAGTGCCAGAGATGATTAAAAAAAGGAAGTGCCAAGAGAAGCAATACACACAACAGCTGGAAAATGTGGGAGAGGTTTTTAGATATGGTATGCAAGTCTTTTCAGAAGGTACCTTAATAAAAAAAAAATAAAATAAAAAACACACACACACAGCTGAGCTCTGAATCCTAAAAGAAATGAAGGCATAAAGGGTCATGGCAACTATTAAAACTTCCTTTCAAGAATTCTGTCCAAAATGCCCATTAGGAAATAGAAGATATTTGAAGAGAAGAGGTCTGAGGGTATTTTTTGCTACTTTCAAGTTCTCTTGCAACTTTAAACTTAATGTTGTCACACTGATGTGGGAGAACCTAATTGTCTCCTTCCAGCAGGAGAGAAGCCTGCTGCCTTTAGAGTCTACAGTAAAGCAGCAGGCAGCCTAGAACCTCAGAAGAAGGGGTGGGTTTAGGGTCACACAGTGCACGCGCACACCATGCCGGAAATGGGAAATGCAGTTTGGCCTCATCTTTACAGTTCCCAAGATGGCAGTGAAATCAGAATCCCCAAAGCATCTGTGAAGTTCAGCCTGTGGCTGGCATCCCTGCAGAGGCATGGAGGAGAAGCACAAACACACAAAAAGCTTAAAATCCTGTAATTTAACTCTTGCCCTCTTTTTAAATTTTTATTTATTTATTTATTTATTTATTTATTTATTTATTTATTTATTTATTCTTTTGGTAACGTATTGGCCTCCACCTTTTCCAAGTGTGAGATGCTTTTTTGGCTTTTTGTTGCTCTCTGACTGTGCCTTTAAGCTGCTGCTTTAATGGCCCAACCCAACCATGCTGACAGTCAACCACAGCCAAAGGCGAACACCCCAGGCCACCTGAGGTTCACAGTGGGATTGAGTGTAATCTGGGTTTTGCATCCATAGGTGCAAATATTAGAAGTTTGTGAGCAAAATCTCATTTGAGATGAATGATTTAATATCCTGTTTCAGGAATGGCAAGCATCAGTATTTAGGAATGCCTCACATCTAATACTCTGGTGGAGAGTGTGATGATAAAGTTTGTGCAACTTATTTTACCTAGAGGGTGGATACCCTGTTTGGAACCCACTGTATTTATTAGGCCTTACTTCAAGTAACTGATATTTATTCTTCCACAGCATGGAGGCCTGAAGTTCAAAGTCAAGGAGTCAGCTGGGCCATGCTCCCTCTGAAGCCTACAGGAGTGGGTCCTTCTCTCTTCTCTATCTTCTGGTGGCCTGTGGATATCCTTAAATTACCTGAACTTTCAGCCACCTCTATCTTCAACTGGATTTCTTCCCTCTGGGTGTGCTTTTATCTCTGTGTCCCATATTCTAACTTCCCTTCTTAAGGTAACACCAGTAATAGATATAGGGCCCACTTTTTCCCACTAAAATCACACTTTCATTTTATTTTATCTACAAAGACACTATTTCCAAATAAGGCCACCTTCACAGATCAGTGACTGACCTTGTGTGGCAGCTGTTTGCAGAGGTTCCTAAGCCAGGCAGAGGGGTAGAAATGTAAACACTCTCAACCAGAAAAGGTTATCTCAGTGTGATTAGCAAAGAGAAGGAAAGCTAGGGATAGGATCTGTGACACAGGTGGCATCTTCTCAAAAACATACAATTCACCATGATTTAAACTCAAATGTAATAATAGCTTTTCTTTTAAAGTTTTGTTTATTTTTTTATTATATTATTTATTCATTCTAATTTGTTATACATGATGGTAGAGTGCAATTAATTTCATATTACACATAGAGCACAATTTTTCAAGTCACTGATTGTACACAAAGTATTTTCACACCAATTGTGTCTTCATACATGTACTTAGGGTAATGATGTCTATCTCATTTCACCATCATTCCTACCCCATTTGCCCCCTCGCTTCCCTTCCCTCCCCTTTGTCCTATCTAAAGTTCCATCATTCCTCCCATGCTACCCCCACATCACCATTATGAATCAGCATCCTCATATCAAAGAAAACATTCAGCCTTTGGTTTTTTCGGATTGGCTTATTTCACTTAGTATTACATTCTCCAGTTCCATCCATTTACCTGCAAATGCCTTGATTTTATTCTCTTTTAATGCTAAGTAATGTTCTATTGTGTATATGTACCAAAATTTCCCTATCCATTCATCTACTGAAGGGCATCTGGGTTGGTTCCATAATTTAGCTATTGTGAATTGTGCTGCTATAAACATTGATAGAGCTGTGTCCCTGTAGTATGCTGTTTTTAAGTACTTTGGGTATAAACTTAGGAGTGGGATAGCTGGGTCAAATGATGGTTCCATTCTAAGTTTTCCAAGGAATCTCCATACTACTCTCCAGATTGGCTGTACCAATTTGCAGGCCCCACCAACAATGAATAATAGCTTTTCTTTGTTTTTGTAATAAGCCAAATTCAGGTGCTAGAGTGTCTTACAGTTGCATGTCAAAGACCTCTCTTTTGAATATTTCTCATAACCAAACCATTTGGGACATTTGGATGTGGAAATATCATCTACCATGCAGTTTGAACTCTAGATAAATATTGTTTCAATGGTTTATGCATACTCAATTTTCATTAAAAGGGATAGCAAGTACCCTGAGCTAGCAATTACAAACAATGACTTTCCCTTTCATCATTTCTGATAACAGGAAATTTTCAATTCCTGGAAACAAAAGGACATGACAAACCATCAATAAACAGAAATTGGGTAATACTGTGCTGTGTTTCTTTTTCTTTAATAAGGAGGTAGCAAAGGCAAGTAAATGGGGCATAATCCAGGTGATCTCCAAAAGGAAGAAAGAAGCCTGTGAGAATCATCTAGAGGAGTGAAAACCTAGCCTTAGCCTTCATCCTCTATGTTCATATGACTATTTATGTGCAATA